CTCTTTGGTTTATAGCCAGGGAAACTGAGGCCCAGAGAGATGAGTGACTGATCTGAGTTAACATATCTAGTGGTTGACAGAAGTGTCAACTTGAACCCAGGACCGACAGCTTCAGTGCTGAAGAATGGTGCTGCCTTTCTGAAAGGAAAAGCACAGGTTTGAGAGAGCCATATAGGTCTGGGTTTGAAGCCCCGCTTTGCCACGTCTAGCTGGTGCCGTCTCTCTCACCTGGGCCCCTAGATATGCAACGGGGGTGCTGCCCTGCAGTGTTGGGTTGTGTGGACACAAGAGAGGCATCTAGAGATAAAGCTCATTATAAAGTTCTGGCCCTGGGCGCAGGGTAGAGGCTCAGTCAACCCGAGTTCCTTTTTTCTCTTTCTAGGCTTCAGCTAAGGTTCTCCGGTCTCAGCCCACGAAGGAAGGATTTTAGATTACAGGAAAGAGGGTGTTCTACTGAAGTTGGAGCCGGCTTCTTCCTGGTCCCAGGCAGCTTGCCCTTTTCATCTTCCTGGACCTCGCTCCGAGGGGCTGTGGGAGAGACTGTGCCCTGTGTCTCCCTCTCTGTTTTACAGCCTGAAGTTTAATCTTCTCCCCTCCCTGCCCACCCTGGTGTCCCCTTTCCACCTCCCTAGCACACTGCCTGTGGGTTTCTACCATGGAAAGGCCCTACTGCCTGAACTCCTATCTGCTTCCTGTGGTTAATATTGGGGCAGGTTCTTTGAGTGGGAACATCTGTCTGAGTCACTGTGCCCTCCGCAGCTCCCACTGACTCAGCATTGGGCTTCCCTTCCTGTCCCCATCCCCCCCCCCCCCCACAGGTGAGCTTCTCCCTGCTCCACTCTGACCACCGGCTCCTCCTTTACCAGCCGCTCAGAGCCTCTGAGAGAGGGCAGGGCTCAATTTCAAGGCTCCACTCCTTTTGAGCACCTGCTCTGAACCAGGCCCTGTGCTAAGCATTTTCTGTGCATTATCTTATTTGAGTCTCAAAACATCACTGTGTGGTCACGGTTAGTTACTAACTGTTTCCTCTTGGAGGCTCAGGGAGGTTAAGGAGGTTAATTTACCCCAAATCGCAGAGCTAGGCAGAGCCATGACTCAAACCCATGTCTGGCGGACTCCAGATCCCAGGTTCTTAAACACACTGTCCTGTGCGATATTTGGTCCTGAAGCAGAGGGAAAGACAGACAAGAGTCCTTCTAGGTGGGAGAATTTGAATACCCCATCACACACTCAACTTTGGGGGAAAATTTGGCTCCTGGGCACCCACTTAGAAGTCAGAAGTTGCCCTGGGATTTCCCAGAGACCAAAGAAGGCCACCATGTGTAGGAGGGAGGAAGTGTGAATTTCCAGGGGCCGGAGGGGTTCTCAGTGCTTGGAGTCCAGTGGTGCTGGGCAGTCCAGTGGTGCTTTCCTGTAATCTGAGATCCTTCCTTCGTGGAGGAGTGGTTCTCATCTCCTTGGAGGTCTGGGTTACTTGGACTGGGCTGTTCACTCCCTAGCAGACCTTCACAGAGGGCCCTGTGTGTACTCACACTCTACCACCAAGGCTCTCTGGGTAGTAAAAGAGACAGAAGTGGCAACAAGTATTGGCATGGCTGGTGACAAGGGCTATGGTGGAAGCAGGCAAAGAAGGAAGGCTTTGAGGAAGGCTCTGAAGAAGGGCAAGGACCCACTCTCCCCAAGGTCTCGTGTAGAGTGATGGAAGGTCAGAGAGTGCTGGGTTCAAATCCAG